CTTTCCCCTGAACAACTGTGGCAAGGATGGTCATAAAACGGAAGAGAACTCACATAACTACTGGCTCACTTAGCCCCCAAAAGAGGAAACTTTGTGCTTCCCTGCGGCTGTCCATCACGGTCCATCTGTCTCCAATTGGTCTATGGCGGTACCAATGCTTGAAAGAGGGGGGGGGGAGTAGAGGAACCAAAAGGGAGGAAGCTGGGCATCCGGGCCAGCCCTCTGCTAAGGGGGCTCCGGCGTGAGACTTACCGTGGCGTTGGGGAAGGTATAGGACTCCGGGATGGGGATGTAATGGTTGGGGAACTTGTGGGGCACCAGCTCGGCATCCTCGGCATCCCACAGCTGCGTGTTGAGGTCGGCAAAGTTGTGGTTGAGATCAAAGCCTTCGTACGTCCATCGGCCCATCGCCCAGCCGGACATCTCCGAGCCCTGCAGAATCGCCAGAGAAAGGAGGGGACGGAGACCTCACCATCCGGTGCTCCTCCGGATGGACCGGCTTGGGGGGCTCGGGAATCCACTCCCCACTTACATCCCCCCCCCCCCCCCGAACAGGAAAGCAGGCCATGGGGTGGGACTCAGCCACCGAGGATGTCCCTCTGGAGGGACCAGGTAAAAGGGCCTTCTCGGTGGTGGCTCCCTCCCTGTGGAACCTCCTTCTCCAGGGATAAGATTGGCTCCGCCTTTGCTGCTTTCCCCCCAAGTTTTGAAGACTGGTTTGATGAGTTGGTCTGGGGAGACCCATTTGATTGCTTTGTCTGAGTGTGGACTGAAGTGTGAGTTTTTAACTGGGAAGGAGGGAGGGAAGGAAGGAAGAAGGAGGTGGAAGGGGAAGGGAGGAAGGAATAGAGAAAGGAGGAAGAGGAAGGAGAAGGAAGAGAGGGAAGGAGGGAGGAGGGAGTAGGAAGGGAAAGGGAGGGAAAGAAGCAGGGAGGGAGGGAGGAGAAAGAGAGGAAGAGAGGGAGGGAGGAAGAAAAAGAAAAAGGAGGAAGAGAAAGAAATGGAAGGAAAGAAATGATAAAAAAGGAAGGAAGGGAGGAAGGAAAGAATAGAGAAAGGAGGAAGAGAAAGAAAGGAGGGAGAGAAGAGAAAGAGAAGAAGGGAGGAAGGAGAAAGAGAGGAAGGGAGGGAGGGAGGAAAAGAAAAAGGAGGAAGAAAGAGAAAGAAAAGGAAGGAAATAAAGTGAAAGGAGAGAGGGAGGGAGGGGAAGGGTGGGAAGAAGGAAAAGAGAAAGGAAGGAGGGAAGGGAGGGAAAGAGGCAGGGAGGGAGGAAGGAGGAAGGAGGGAGGGAGGAAGAAAAAGAAAATGGAAGAAGGAAGAGAAATAAAAGGAAAGAAAGAAAGAAAGAAAAAAAAGAAAAGGGGAGGGAGGAAGGAGCAAGGAAAGGAAGGAATGAAAGAAGATGGGAGGAAGCAAGCAAAAGAAAGAGAAAGGAAAGAAAAGAAAAAAAGAAAGATCTTCTCTGAGATTTCCTTTGTAAGTGAGATTCGGGGGCCTCTCCGGATCGCCAGAAACTGACTTTAAACTTTATTTTATGGGTGGGGTTTGCAAGGCTTTTGCGAAATCCTTCCCACAAGGGCAACTTTGATGGAGGAAATCAGAGTTGGGCAGAGGAATGGGGTGGCTCTCCGAGGACAGACAGACAGACAGACAGACTCCCACACACCCCCCACACCCACACAGTACCACGCACCAGCTTGTAGGCCGTCTCGTAACCATCGGGGTTCATGGAGGGCATCAGGTGGATCCGGGTCTCGGTGACCAGCCTCCGGACGCGAAGGTTACCCTGCTTGTATTCCTGGCACAGATACTCCATCAGGTTCAGCACCAGCTCCCGGCCCAGCGCCTCGTTGCCATGCATGCCAGCCACGTAGCGGAACTCCGGTTCTCCTGCAATGGTGGAAGGATAACGTCCTGTGTGGGTTTCTTGAGGGATCCAAGGACCCCATTTGTGGACCCCCCCCCCCAAAACCCCGATCTGTGATTCTCAACCTTGATAAATGGGACATGGGTGGACTTCAACTCCCAGAATTCTCGGCTGGCTGAGAAATTCTGGGAGTTGAAGTCCCACCCGCCTTTGACTTGCCAAGATTGAGAAACATGGAGAAAGCGGCGAGAGAGATTGCAAGGCCAGCAATCCCAGGATTCTGGGAGTTGAAGTCCACCCAACTTATCCAGGCTGAGAAACACTGGATAAACTAGATTGTAAGGGCAGGCGGGGAGTGTTGTGGCCCAGTGGATCTGGCAGCAGAGTCGGACAGTGAGGAGGTTGGGGAGGAACATGGGCCGGTCTTGGAGTCTGGGGAAGGCTCTGATGAGGGCTCTGTGTCGGAGGCAGAGAGGGAGGCCGGATGCCAGTTATCAGCTGCCTTCAGTGTCGGAGATCAGTGGGGCAGAAGAACAGCTGGATCCTGTTCCCAGTGTGCGCAGGCGCAGAGCTGCCAGACGAAGGAAAGAGCTAAAGAACAGGGGTCGACTTGGGAGTGAGGCCACAGGTGGACGGTGAATGGCCCCTCCCAGAGGAAATAAAAGAGGAGCGAAAAGGGAGTGGAGCTTGCAGGAGACACTTAGTTCGCTTAATTGGTTCGTGACTCTCCGAGGCTCCT